ACACACACACACACACACACACACACACACACACACACACACACACACACACACACACACACACACACACACACACACACACACACACACACACACACACACACACACACACACACACACACACACACACACACACACACACACACACACACACACACACACACACACACACACACACACACACACACACTTACCATGTATACATCACTTCAGGGGATATTACATTGACTTACATGCATTTCCTGGAGACTTATTCTAACCTTAACCATAACCAACACATGCCTAACCCTAACCCTAACCCTTAACCTTACCCTTAACCTAATCCTAACCAAGTCTTCACCCTACAATTAATGATTCCCCTCATGGGGACCTCCATTTTGTCCCCATAAGGGAGGCGAGTCCCCACACGTGACTGTGTAAACAGATTTAGGTCCCCACAAGTATAGTAATGCTAGGCCACACACACACACACACACACACACACACACACACACACACCACACACACACACACACACTGAATTATTGTGTTAATTTCTTTGAATGAAATACAATATGTCTCCCCTGTAGGAGGAACAAAAACATCAAAAGCAAGCCGAGCCTTCCCAAGGTAAGACTCAAATATCAGGACTGCAGAGAGTCCTCACGCCTCTTTTGAATGCACTTTTCCCATTAAATAAAAAAGAATAAACAAACAATAATGAAGCACTTAAAAAGGTTTGGCATATTTGAACCTTATGTACTCACAGGATTATTGCAGTTTGTAATGTGTATCCTAATGGATAAAAGCATCAGCTACATTAAATGAAATACAATGAAATGTAACATGGCAACATCTTAAAGGTCACCTATTATGCAAAATCCACTTTTCTACATAACCATGTGTCCCCTCTGTGTAAAGAGACTCTGAAAGTTTGATGAAAAACAGTATAATAGGGGACCTTTAAGAATCACGAAGGTGTTTTTCAGCCTCCGTCACATCCTCTCGTATGTTCTGGTTCTGTGATTGCAGCACTTGTTGGACATTAAGTCTCTGCGGTACCTGAGCAGCGTGACGCTCCACGACCGCATCACCAAGTCTCTGCTCCACCTGCACAAGAAGAAGAAGCCGCCCAGCATCAGCGCTCAGTTTCAGGTCAGTGCTGCCCCCTGCTGGAAGATCAGTGAATTACAACAACCTTAGTGACTCAGCAGCAGCCTATAGTGTTTATAAATGTACATGAATATCCTACTATCCTAAGTCAAACATTTAACAGGACAAGAGCTTTAATGTGTTGTCCCATAATAGTGTCATTTTAGCAGATTCAAAAAAACTGTACAAAACCACTTAATAAGCTTAAAGTTCTCATTTTGCAGAACAGTCTATATTATATTATTTGATTCTAATCACTAAAAGAATAATAAAGGTAGGCCTTTCGTGTTGCATCTGGTGAAGGAGGGGTAGACTTTAATATCTTAATACACTGCTCTGCAACTTAACCCTAGTTTATATAGATTGATTTTCTTGTTAGTAATTGTTGTATTAATAAACTAAATCACAGCATTATTCTCTACAATTGTATTTTGTGTTTGTGTGTGCAGGCGTCCCTCAATAAGCTGATGGAGACTCTCGACCAATCAGAGCCGTACTTTGTGAAGTGTATTCGCTCCAACGCTGAGAAGGTAAGTTCTGGTGCAAAATAATCATCTTGTTAATACTTCTCTTAATGACTAGCTTCTGTTTTTTTGTATTAATACTTTCTCTCTCTCTCTCTCTCTCTCTTTATGTCAGCTGCCGTTGCGTTTCAACGACAGCCTGGTGCTCCGACAGCTCAGATACACGGGCATGCTGGAGACCGTCCGGATCCGACAGTCCGGATACAACATCAAGTACACCTTCCAGGTAATATTCCACTACTTATATCTAACTACCAGAGATGGCAAAAGTACACACATCTTTTCCTCAAGTAGAAGTACAGATACTCGTGTTTAAAAATACTCTGGTAAAAGTAGAAGTACTGACTAAACTTCTTTACTCAAGTCAAAGTAAAGAGGGCTTTGAAATGTACTTAAGTAAAAAGTACCCATAACTAGCAGCTGTTTTAAAGAGTACCTGACCTCCCTTTATATTAATAGAACAATAATGTCATTGTTAGCTAATGAATGTTTCCATGCTGAACAACGGCAACATGACAACGTTTTCATTGGTCCCTCTTCTTTAGAGAAGACCAGGAAATGATGGATACACGGATCGTGTTCAAATCAATAGGCACGCAATGACTCTGAATAATAATGATCACGCCACCAAACACACATTCAAACTAAAGGAACCAGCCTGTTTGGGAAATGTAAGAAGTAGAAAGTACAGGTATTTGTGTTCAAAATGTAAGAAGTAGAAAGTACAGGTATTTGTGTTCAAAATGTAAGAAGTAGAAAGTACAGGTATTTGTGTTCAAAATGTAAGAAGTAAAAGTAATAAGTCGTCAGAAAAATAAGTAGTGGAGTAAAGTACTGATACCAGAAAAATGTACTTAAGTACAGAAACGAAGTATTTGTACTCCACTACTTCCCACCTCTACTAACTTCAGATCTAAGATTATGCCGTGTCAGCGGTACAATTGTATTTATTTCTAGAATTTGCCAGCTAATTAGCATAGTTAACATTTGTATTTCCATGTTTAAATGTGTATTGTATTGTTTCTTGCTTTGCCCTTTTCATATTGTATGCATACATGTTATATTACTGATCTTTAATATATTTTTTAAGCTGTATGTACCCTGCTGTTTATTGTGTTTGGCACTGTGTGTAGACGTTACACTGCAAGCTGTTGATAACACGTTTTTTTTGTATGACTCAAACTCATACTTGGCAAATAGAGCAGATTCTGATTCTTATCTTAGTTTGTAATGCTGCACACATATGGCTAAATGTTGAGATACTCAGGTATTCATCTACTAGCAATACAGTTGTTATAATGTTATCTTTACATTTTGAATTAAATAGCAGCCGTTCTTGCTATATTGAGACACTATGTTAGATGTTCTATATCCTGGGGGAGATTTAAAATCAATCTCAGTTTACCCTGACGCCCCATATGTATTTAAAGCTTCTTTACTGACCACACCTTCCCCATGTTGCAGGACTTTGTGCGTCACTTTCACATTCTGCTGCCTCGAGGCACGAGTCCCACCAAGTCGGGCATCAGGGAGTTCTTCAGACGGATCCACCTGCCGCCTGCTGGGTATCAAGTGGGAAACACCATGGTACGGACTCATGTTATCTTTGAAGGTCACCTATTGTGCAAAATCCATTTGTTCATGTCTCTTCTACATCAACATGTGTCCCCTCTGTGTAAAGAGATTCTGAAAGTTTCAGGAACAAAGATTCTCTCTCTTTTCGTCCTGATCCATTTATATAAAAACCTGTCTGAAAATGAGCTGATCAGATTTTGGCCACTTTGTGATGTCATAACGATGTTTTGTCTTGCGTAACCATTAGCCAATCACCAACCAAGGTAACCCCCCCCCACCTTATCACCTGAATCTCCTCCTAGAGCACCATTGTGTTCTTTTTAACCAAATATCTCTCAGAGGGGCGTGGGGAGGGGCTCCTTATTTTCATCTAAAGTAACAGACAGAGAATCAGCACTTTTGAAACAGGGCTGAAACAGAGGGGATTATGGGATGCTGCAATGATCTGTTTGGAGCCAAACACTTCAGAGACATGTTTTGTATATATCTGAGACCTATAATATATTGATGAAAGACAGTATAATAGGGGACCTTTACTGTCCGAGCTATTTTAGTGGCAGGCGTATTGAAATGTTGCTCTGATGTAGGTGTTTCTGCGGGAGGCGGAGCGGCAACGTCTTCAGACTCTCCTCCACCAGGAGGTCCTGCGGAGGATCGTCGCGCTGCAGCGCCGCTTCAGAGCCGTCCTGGAGAGGAAGCACTTTTTGGAAATGAGGAGAGCTGCCTTCGTCATCCAGGTGAGATCTTTTTGGGTGGGAAAAGAGTTAAAAAACAAGATCCTGAGATTTCGTATATGGACTTCAAACAATATTTCAGATTATGATTAGCTCTAAAATGGTTGCTGTAAGTGCATTATGAATCAATTGAACAATCCTGCACAGCCAAGTTTCCGTAGTGCATTAAGCAAGACTGTTTAGGCATTACGTGATTAATACTGGTTCATTTACTCTAGATATACAGGGATGTAAATATAGCCTCCCCATTAACGATGATCGATCCAGTTATTAATATAGCTTTTAATATTATTGTCTCTCTTTCCTAAATAGATTCTACTATTGAAACATTAAATCATATTGTAACAACATGATAACTTCATTAAAAATGTTTTAAAGAGTAACTTACATATCTTATTTGTGCTTACCTTTGTTAGTTGCTCTGTGTGACAAAATAGTTAGTCTTACTGTAAACATTTCGATTTAAAGAAGACCTCATTTTCATATTGTGTGCTTCTACTGTGGCGTGGGGGAATGTGTGGAAAAGGGATGTTTGCTAATGTGGGTTTTGCCCACAGTATTGAGTGCATGTAAGTCGCTTTGGGTAAAAGCGTCAACAAGTGATAAGTGAGGTTTTTCTAATCTAGAGGGACTGAAATGGGAAATATTGGGGGGGGGGGGATAAATTGTTCGTGTGCATCAAACATAAAGGTGAAAACTAGTAATAAGCATGTTTTTGTCAACTCAAACAATGATTTGGTTTATACTTGGAAGTCTACTGTCCATTCTGGTAGAAATGGATAAACATCTACAACCAGACTGTATTTCCATTTAATTGAACAAATATTTTCCCCTTTCCTGCAGCGATGGTGGCGATGCTGCCTCCTCAAACAGTCCACCATGGACCGGGAGGATGAGGAGGAGGAAGAAGAGGAGGCGGCGGCGGTGTGTGTGCAGGCGGCCTGGAGGAGCTACAGGCAGCGGCGGAGGTTCCTGCTGTGGCGTGACTCTGCCGTCGTCATCCAGAGGAGCTGGAGGAAGTGCCGGCTGCGCAGATCTGAGGCAGCCGTCAGGATCCAATCAGCCTGGAGAGGATTCAGGGAGCGGAGCCGCTACCTCAGGACGAGCAGGGCGGTGACGCTGCTGCAGGCCAGAGGCAGGGGACACCTGGCCAGACTCAGGTGAATCATGTTATACTAATGGGGGAAATCAGATTGCATTTAGTTGTATTCAAGATTCAAGGCTTTTATTGTCATGTGTGCATAGCTACAGTGTAGTTCTGACAATGGAAATCTTAGGTCACAGGCTCCTCCAACAGTGCAACACAATAAAACAGATACAATAGTGCAAGTAAATACAATAAAATAGAATATAGTAGAAGTAGTGCAGAATAGTCTATATACAAGATGCAGATGTTGTAGAAATGATGATGAAATTGTGTGAAAGGAGAGGTTTCATCCGAGTTAATTGCAAAAAAATTCGTTCATAAAAACCTTCTTTAGGCATCAAGATCTTTGAAAATCTGTATTCCAAAAAACAATCAAATATCTGGGGTTTAGCTTTGAATAAAATGCGGTTTGAGTGAACAGTTTTTTTTTATTACTTAAAAGGATTATGGTGCATAATCAGCTTCTCGTAGGGGCACCTTAATGTCCCCAATTTTCCCTTTTACTTTCTTGAAGCTTCTTAGCGATACTAGTTGCACGCGGATTGTCTTTTGTATTGTAAAACAATATAATCAGCATCTTCTTGCAAGCAGGAAGTTTTGATTTAGGATAGGGGATTGTTTAAAGCAGCTATGATCAATAATATATATTAATAAGGACATGCAGGACCACTTGTTGGGGGGAATTAGTAATACATCCACAGAGAACTAAATACATTTGTTACATTACACAGGGTTTCTACGGTCATTAAAAACCTGGAAAAGTCATGGAAATTCAAAATGCAAATTCCAGGCCCTGGAAAAGTTTTGGAAAGGTTATGGAAATGTAACTAAAGTTGCATCAAATATAATTTATATTTTATCTAATCGCCGAAATAGTAATACTATAATGATAATAAATACTGTATCGTATAGTAATGAAACGTAAAATGGCATTTAACTGACGAGGTATTTTGCTGGTGAGAGATGTTAGTTGCTTTAGCGTGTAGAAGCTAGTAAGCCTATTGGATTTGTTTTAGATAGGCACAACATGTTTCATATGCAGACCTTATTTTCCTGTTCCATGTTAAAATAAACAATTTTCAGTGGTACCGCTGAGAAAGAGTAATTTTTTTGGTCGTGGAAAATTAGGTAAAGGTCATGGAGAAGTCATTGAGAAGTCATTGGTGAAAGACTGTATGAACCCTGATTACATGTTCTGCCTGCTCTGTATGGAGACCTTTGCTAATCACACTCTTGCATTCTCCACTTATAAGGTTCAGGGAAGTGAAGGAGCAGCATGAGAGACAACAGAGTCCAGCAGCAGCAGAGATGGATGCAGGAACCATCGAGGACCTCACCTCATCAGGACAGGAAGTTTGCGATCAGGATATATCCGTAGAACTGACTGAAGACCCTCAGCCTACTGTGTTAGACGGGGGAGAAATGGAGAGAGAGGAGGACTCTGAGCGGAGCAGGAGCATGAGCATGAGCATGGACGAGACCAGCGATAAGATCAGGATAAAGAGAAAGAGCCGACGGATGAGAGAGCTGGAGCAGGCTCAGTTCAGCTTAGAGCTTCTGAAGGTCCGGACCACCAGCGTGCAGGAAGAGTCCGTCCCTGAAACCAGCACCTGTGCTCTGGAAGACCCTCACAGACTTTCCCCTCGTGGGTCTCCAGCTAGTCACGGTAGTTTTGAGCTCCTCAGTGTGGAGGACATGGAGACCGAAGGCTCTGGAGGTGTTATTCCAGAGTCTACTGCACTGGATATGCAACTACACGAGAGAGATGCTAACTTTAATGAAAAGCCAGTGATGGAGCCGCCAAACAAAGCAGAGGGTGGGAGGGCAACGTTTTATATCGCTTCTGACCAAAGTCCAGTTCATGAACCAACATTCGAAAGCCCCAGTAAATCCGAGAGAAGGGAGTCCACGTCTCGGAGGCCTGTGGTGGTCCTGATCAGTATGCAGAAGGAGAGTCCATTGGAGGAGGGGGAGCTGCTGGCAGCCCACATCCTAGAAGGAGCTTCTGAAGCAGCATCAGCCCCCGAAATGACCCCCGCTACGGACCCAGAGGTTGTAGAGATGGAGCAACCTGTAGGGATTATTACCCAGCCTGAGAGTGATGTATGTGGGGCGGACAAATCCCCAGAGGTCCCGTCTTTAAGTCCAGAATCCGGGGTCTGCTCCTCAGAGGTGGACATCCAGATCGTGCTGCAGCCGAAGTCCAGCGTCCCCCCCGCCCCCGCCCCAACCCCCGCCCCCGCCCCCGCACCCCCCCGCCAGCCAGAGAGGAAGACGAGCCGCCCGGCGCAGGACGCCCCGAGCCCCGTGCTGGACACCAAACCTCCCAAAGCCCAGAAGAAGAGCTCGGCCCAGACTGTGATCGTGAACATGGTGGAGAAACCCTCCAACAGCGTGTTCTCCCCCCCCAGACGCAAGCTGCCATTCTCCAAGTAAGTTTGACACCATACTGACACATTTTTATTCACATAATCTTTTACATAAAGTACCAAATCTGCTTTTAGAAAAACTCAAAATAGCTCAAAACCCCAATGAAATCATAACTTTTCTGACTAAATCCTTTTTGGAAAAGTCCAAACACTTATTTAAATCATAAAAAATGTAATAAACATTATTCTCAGTAACATGACTTAGATCAGGGGTGCCCAATACGTCGATCGCGAGCGACCGGTCGATTGCGAAGGTAGTGTGGGTAGATCGCATGGCATTGAAATAATTTAAATTAAATATATATATTTTCTTCTTTTTTTTGGTCATTTTAAAAGTAGCTCCCAAGCTGAACAAGTGTGGGCACCCCTGACTTAGATAATACATACAAAATATGAATACAATTGTTGAATAACTTAACCTCAAATATTCAATCAGTAGCATTGCTTTCAGGCCTGCGACCAAACATTTTCAAAGAATGTATGTCTTAAAAACTATTTGTACTGCTTTTATTTCTACTGGAGTAATGAGATGTTTCTATAGAAGCATCAATAGAGTGAAGACAAATATAAAGTACCTTTGTGCCTTTTGTTTAATGTTACATTGTTCTGGTTCTGTGTTGCAGGTCAGATAAGGATTTGGTGAACCAGGAAAGATCTCTCGCCATGTTCAGAGACGACTCTAAATCTGGGTCCAGAAACAGAGAGGTAGGACACACACACACACACACACACACACACACACACACACACACAGACACACAGACACACAGACACACACACACACACACACACACACGGGAAAACGCAAGCTGCTCCTCACCCACCACATGCAAATGGTTTGATTTCAACCAGAATCATACGCTCTTCGTTGACCAGCAATGCTCACACGAAGGATTTAGGCTTAAATATAAACAGAAAATAGACTTACAGAAATCAATCCGGATTGGACATACATTCATTATTCCAGATGTATTTATTTATTTTATTTTACAGTTGATTGATAAACCTGGGGAAATATTGACAGCCTTGTCTTCCAGAACCAAAGATTAGCCATTTCTTTGTTGAATCCAATAAACATGGTTAGTATTTGATCACATCTGTATACATAAAACACACACACACACACACACACACACACACACACACACACATACACACATACACACATACACACACACACACACACACACACACACACACACACACACACACACACACACACACACACACACACACACACTCAGCTGACCTGATGTCCCTGTGGTTGCCTGGTAGCAGGTGGGTCGCCCCGGCCCCAAAAAGAAAGCGCGAATGTCCCGGACGCGCTCCGACTTCCTGACGCGCTGTAACTCTGAGGGCGCCACGCAGTCCGACGACGACGACGAGTACTACACCCCCGCCCACTCCCACACGCTGCCCCCCCTTCCGTCCCCCCCGCTCGCCCTCCCCGAGGACGACTGTCAAAGTGACTCCGAGATGGTAAAAACACCTGATCTCCGGAGGTCCCGTGGCCTCCAAGAAACCGAATGTTTCCTGTCTCCACTTCTGCTCCTCCACCTTCCTCTCAGGTGGAGCTGTACGAGCGTCAGGAGGAGCCTTTTAACACTTCTAACCCCCCTCCCATCGAATATTTCACTACTGTAGGACTGTTTCTGCCCAGCTACAGTCCGACCAATCACGCTGATGTTTCTCCGCGTCGCACCAACACACCGTTACCGTCGCTTTGCACGTCGCTCTGGTGGCTGTCGGTCTGAAAATCAGCCTCAGCATCACCTCGAGGCTCTATCTCTTCAACTTTTTTATTAACAATACACTGAGATTTTAACAGTAAAGACTGAGTGAAGATCTTGTCCTGAAAACATGACTTCTGCTGCTCCTGCATGCTGGAGACCTCGAGCAGAGAGACTTCTCACTAACATCAGCCTTATTTTCACTTAAACGGATCTTACCAGCATGACTTCTGTTTCTCTCTCAACATCTACAAATATCTCTCCATCTCTTCAGATTCAGTAGATTTAATATCAGTAGTATAATCAGTAAACTAGAACTAGAACCAGAATAATAAGTAATTAACCTCACGATGTTCTCCTGATTTACTGCAGTAATGTGGAAATATGCATTTTATAAAGATATTTCTCCATATAATATTTCTCCATATAATCCTGTCCATAAGGCACAAACAGAAACTGTGCGCTCTGGACGAGTATATACCGTAAATAATGTTTTGATTCTCACCCGGTTGTTGTTCTCTGCTCTCCAGTCATCTCACAAAGACCAGAAGAAGATCCATAAGACCATGTCGTCAGGAGACCTGGGCAAGGTGGAAGTCCTCAGGAAAACCTCCAGTCAGGATGGAGGGTAAGAGTCTAAAATAACATAATGTATACAGAAAAGTATGCTCCTGGTAACTCTAGTATTAACAGGTTTAATAGCAGATTGCATCAGCTTTAACCGTGATGTAGCAAACGAGAAATGACACAGAATATCATTGATTTAAAGAAAACACTGACTGACCTTGTATTGAACCTGTGTCTCTTTAGTAGGTTTACTTAACAACTGCAGTGTGACATAGCGATGCATTATTGAGGGACACAAATAATTGACAGCAAATGATCAAATAATGTAGTGTTTTTGCATTTTACATTTAGTTGGGGGTGGGTTAGGGTTTGTATGTTCTTAAATGAATGAAATATAATCAATCAATTGTGTTTTGTGTGATTTAGCAGGATGAAAGGAAGGATACGATTCTGGAGTAAGACAAAGAGCGAGAAAAAACTGCTGAGAGAGGCCAGCAGGAGCGGGTCTGCAGAAGCACATGGTAAAAGAAATCTATCTGCAAACATGATTCAGTTTTGGTTGCCTTCCTCCACAAGGAGATCAGGAGTCATGACGACTATCTCTGTACAGTAAACTATAGAATATTATTTAAAGGTAGGGTAGGTAAGTTTGAGAAAGCAGCTTGAGTGCGCTAGAATTTAAAAATACACAACCGGAGAAAATCTGCCACTTCCTTATAGAGCCCCTCCTCCAACACACACGAACGCGCACATGACCAATGAGGGCACGAGATAAGTTTGTGCACAGATGGAAGGCTGACAGGCAGGTAGGCCATCCAGTTATTTTAGCCGGGCTGGCTAAAATGATTGGTCGTACTTTTTACAGTGTTACGGCTTCCACAGATGACATTTTTTAATGGATTTTTTGTCAAAGCACTTAAGATATTCATTGCTATCGGGATGTTAAGAGCATTCCATGGAATATAACAAAAAGTGTATCTCGAGCCGGTTTCTCAAACTTACTTAAAACTTATTGCCATTGAATACGGCCGCTCTGAAGCTAAACTTCGCTCATTGATGTGACGCGTATAAATAATCAAGCCTGTACTGAACTCTACGTTTTAAGGATATTTAATATTGTAACTCAAAACAATAAACAAACAGAATCATACGGTCAACAAAAGATATTAGAGCTAACCTCACCCCCATTGTCATGCTACCAAACCTCCACATACACCAGGTGTCCTAAATACCATTAACCACACCCATGGGACAATTACCGGAAACAAGTGTATGTGGTGTTAACAAATAATAAGCTACCACAGCATTTTGGCTCCTACAATGAACACAAAACCTTATTAATCCATCTTCTCTCCACCTCCTTCTCCATGTTTGTCTCTTTCCTCCCAGTAGGCCCTCCTTCTCCTCCTCGCATTCCAGATTTGGAGGCCTCCTCTTCCTCTCGGGCGGTCAGTAAGGAGAACAAGGAGCCGTCTCCTAAGATGAGGAGGCGTCGCAGCGTGAAGATCAGCAGCGTCGCTCTGGAGCCGGCGCAGTGGCAGAACGACGCGCTGCACATCCTCAGCTCGGCTCACGACTACCGCACCATGAACGACTTCCTCATGAAGAAGGTCAGAGGGCCAACCTGTAGTTTTGTGTCGATCATCAAAAAAAAGTGTATCTATAAAAGTGTAAAGTTACCTTAAACTCAAGGTTCAAAATCTTCTTAAATACATAAATTGGACACCATATTTGTAAAAATGTTCACGGTTTTGAGATATCAGTCTGTGAGATTTCCACCGCCACCCCAACACAACTGAGGAAAGAATGTCAGAGGGCAAACCTGTACCTGAACACACACACATATATACACACACACACACAAACCCATACTCAAACACACACACGCACTGTTTTACCTGACGTAGTATTTTTGTTTGGTTCTCCCAAAGGCTCTGTTGTCCATTCAATGTAGTTGTGTACACTATGTATCTGTAGAAGTGCCTTTTAATTATGTAACTTCAATGTTCAAAATTAGAGGGGCATGATTAAAGTTTAATTGTCAGGGTTTGAGATATCTTTCCTTGAGATTTTCTCCGCTAGCCCAACACAACTGAGGTTAATATAATTATGTGTGTGCAGCTCAAAAGCAGCATTAATAAGATAATTTAAAGAAATCCAAACAGCAACACCTTACTCTGGAGTCAGTGTACCTGTTTTTTGTTAATAACCAGACCTCAATGTCATCAGTTGGCATAAGGACGTGATAGAAAGAAGCCCCGAAATGAATTTTATTTCTGCAGATGAAGATGCATTCACATCCAATTTAGAAGAGGAATAATTGTATAAAAGTATTATATTCACACGTTTTTTTGTTTTTTAAACATGTCTGGTTAAACCTGTGCAGACTTTATTCACCTTATCTACTTGTCATGAGCTTAGCTGTGAACTTCATTATCATTTGTCCCTGCAGATCGCCGACCTGGAGTCAGAGGACGGTAAGAAGGACACCATGGTGGACGTCGTCTTCAAGAAGGCTCTGAGGGAGTTCAGGATCAACATCTTCAACTCATACTCCACCGCGCTGGCAGTGAGTCCTTTATACTATTCTCTTTTTGTTTGTTCTCAACTGATTTTAAGCACCACAGGATCTGTTTACAGCTGTGCGTCAGGAAGGTAGAGATCATAATAAGAGGCTTTGCATAAAATCAGAACAGAAATAGTACAAAGAAAACAGAAAACAGAAAGCGTAGTCCTAATCCAAGTTCGAGTAAAATGGGGGTTGTTGATCAGAGTTTGAAAGCTAGAGTGAATAAGTGAGTTTTGAGAGATTCTTTCAAGGAAGATAGGGAAGTTGTAATTCACTCACAGTTAAGAATACTAAAGTGACTCTCACATGCCTTTATAGGTTGTCTGTTTTAGCAAACGTGGCACTGAGGGGGAATTAAATAGCCATCAGGCTGCACAACAAGAGGTCAACAATGTGACACAATTACTGCACATAAAATACACACTGTTTTCACACACATGTACATATATCTAATATGTATATATGACCCAATATGTATATATGTTCATTTGAATTAATTTCTTATTTTATAGTTATTTTATCATTTTTAATTTTTATCTTTGATTGTATCTTAGGTTTTATTATTTTCAGGAACAACAATACAAAACAAACAAAGGTAGTGCCAGAGATCAAATAATGATCTATACATAATGTAACTAAGGTCAGGGTTCGCTGTGACTTAGTGAAGGGTCTTATAGGCAGTCCACTTGAACAGTTTGTTTTCAAATTCTGGTAGTTTCATTCTGAGCACATGGGTGAGTCTTTCCATATGGAGTATTTCTCCAACCACTTCCAACCAGTCATTGGCTGTAGGGGGTTCCTCCTGTAGCCATTTCCTGGTGATTGTTTTTTTCGTTGATGCTATCAGTATACGAACAAGATATTGGTCTCCGTATTGGACAATGCTCCTTGTGAGGCTTCCTAAATAAAGTACCTCAAAAGTGTTCGGGACCTCATATCCCAAAATCCACTTGAGCACAGTCCATACATCATCACAGTATCCCTTCATTTTCGCACATTCCCAAAAAACATGTGCATGTCCAATATTACTCACCCCACACAGTCTCCAGCATGCCTCTTGAGTAAAGTATGTGCGTATTTACTTTTAGTCCTGGGAGTAATGAAAAATCGGATTATATTTTTCCAACAAAACTCTTTCCACATCCTTTGATTGTATCTTTTATTGTATTAATCTGTGTGAATCTGTGCTGTCCTGCTTTTCAATCTAACCCTGTTGCTGTTAACCCACTGAATTTCCCCACTGGGATTAATAAAGCTCCATTTTATCTTATCTTATCTTAAAGGGGACCTATCATGCAAAATGCACTTATGTACGTCTTTTATACATGAATATGTGTCCCCGGTGTTCCAGGGAACTCACCAAGTGTCAGAAAACACAACCCTCTCTATTTTCCTCCATACCCAAATCTCTAAAAAAGGGGCTGCAACGGATCTGATAAAAACTGATCCAGATTTGAACACTGTCCTGACGTCAGGACGGTGGCGCTACGGCTATTGGGCCAACTCCACCAATCAGGAGGAGACAGCCACGGCCATTGCCGTTCGAAAGCGCTGGAGACGCTGTAGTACATATGCCAGGCCAGTAGATGGTGCTATTCTCACAGAATCAGCCCTTGCAAAAACAGAGCTAAAAATTGTCAAATTGAGCAAAATGAGGCATGGCTAAAATGCATGATCTGTTTGGTATTTTGAAGAAAAAAATATATAAATATGCCTTATATAGGTATGGTCCTACACTATATTATTCAAATATAGCATGATAGGTCCACTTTAAAAAAAACAAATTTGGAAGAAGCCAGAAAAGTGTTTACTGATGTTTTGGTGGAATAATTTGTGATTTGACACACACAAAATCACCATTGATTCTGAGTATTTCTTCTTACTTGCCTTTAACCACCAGATGGATGATGGGAAGAGTATCCGTTACAAGGATCTGTACGCCCTTTTCGAACAGATCCTGGAGAAGACCATGCGCCTGGAGCAGAGGGACTGGTGCGAGTCGCCGGTGAAGGTGTGGGTCAACACCTTCAAGGTGTTCCTGGACGAGTTTATGACCGAGTACAAGCCCATGCAGGGAACCATCAGCAGGGTAAGAGAGTTATAAACTGATTGATGTAAATAATGATAGCTATTATGCAGTTATTATCTATAGATATCAATGAATTCAATGTGCAGTACTCACAAGGAGATTACAAAACATCACAATGTAAGTAACACACTTTTCTTTGTCCAGGCTCCTAAACGAGAACGCAAGAAGTCAAGAAAGAAGGAAACAGATATTGTGAGTTGTTATTTTAATGGTATACTAAAGACAAATATTGCATACAGCAATGTTTGTGTTGAACTAACTTCTGCCCCCCCTCCCCACCCACCCACACCCACACACACACACACACTCCTGCAGGTGGAAGAACACAACGGCCACATCTTTAAATCCACACAGTACAGCATCCCCACATACTGCGAGTACTGCTCCTCCCTCATCTGGATGATGGACCGCGCCTGCGTCTGCAAACGTGAGGATTGGACACAAAACACACACACACACACACACACACACACACACACACACACACACACACACATTCAAACCTCTGTGTCCGGTTCAATTGGGAAAATATAGTTCAAGATAAAATACTAAACGTTAGAAAATGGCTGTTTTTTTGCCTGTATTCTCCATAAAAGCCGACGGTAAATATCTGCAAGTCTGCCTAATATCTCATACACACACACACACACACACACACACACACACACACACACACACACACACACACACACACACACACACACACACACACACACACACACACACACACACACACACACACACACACACACACACACACACACACACACACACACAGTAATATACACCACTAGAAGTTCCTAATGTTTTCCTAACTGACTTACTCGCACTCCCGACCGTGTGTGTAGTTTTTATTTCCACCCACACAGAACATTACACCCCCTCCTACTCTTTCACTCACACACACACACACACACACACACACACACACACACACACACACACACACACACACACACACACACACACACACACTCTTGCCCTGCCTCCCTGAGTGTGAGAAAAACTCGATAAAACCTCATAAATCCATCTTCTATCAAGTTACTGTCTCCATCTGCACTCAGCAGACACCCAAACTCGCCGCCTCTGCACTCTTTACTCTTCGAGGTCGTGACAGACTGACTGCAGATGTTGTGCGGAGGTTTTAGAGTCTCATTGTGTTGATCTGTTGTCTGCAGTGTGTCGCTACGCCTGCCATAGGAAGTGCTGCACCAAGATGACCACCAAGTGCAGTAAAAAGGTAGGAGGAGATTTTATTTATCTGAAGGTTTATGGTTTCCGGATGCTGTAATATCACTAGGGTGTTAAAACAAAACACTGGAAATGGATCAAAACATTTTTTAACATTTAAGCCTATTTGATTTCCTTTGTGTCTTTATGTTATTTAACTCACAACAAATAAATGTATGCCTGTCAAATGTTATGCAAATTGTGTTTAATTAGCATTTTTCATTTCCCTTTTGTTGTCATATGTATTCTGGAAACGGTTTACATTTGGAGAAATAGACATTTAGATACAAATGTAATCTCCTTGCTGCTGTTTTTTTAACAAAAGCTTTGTCCAGAAATACTTTTTATTGGTATCTTATAGGTGTAGGTGTAGGTGCATTCATCAGTAGCAAACTACTTGTTTTAAAGGGGACCTATCATGCAAAATGCACTTTTGTACGTCTTTTATACATGAATATGTGTCCCCGGTGTTCCAGGGAACTCACCAAGTGTCAGAAAACACAACCCTCTCTATTTTCCTCCATACCCAAATCTCTAAAAAAGGGGCTGCAACGGATCTGATCAAAACTGATCCAGATTTGAACACTGTCCTGACGTCAGGACAGTGGCGCTACGGCTATTGGGCCAACTCCACCAATCAGGAGGAGACAGCCACGGCCATTGCCGTTCGAAAGCGCTGGAGACGTTGTAGTACATATGCCAGGCCTCTAGATGGTGCTGTTCTCACAGAATCAGCCCTTGCAAAAACAGAGCTAAAAAATGTCAAATTGAGCAAAATGAGGCATGGCTAAAATGCATGATCTGTTTGGTATTTTGAAAAGAAAAAAGTATAAAAAATATGCCTTATATAGGTATGGTCCTACACTATATTATTATAATATAGCATGATAGGTCCACTTTAAAGCAAAACAAGTACCCTCAAAGGTTTTGCTGCTACAGGTTTACTTGGTCTGGTATGACTTGTAGCTTATAGTAGCCAATGTGGCACATTGTAGCATTGCATTAGTCTTTAAGCTACACACAGTGGTCTATCTGTAGTGTGACGTGTTTGTGTGTGTGTGTAGTACGATCCGGAGCTATCGTCCAGGCAGTACGGTGTGGAGTTGTCCCGTCTGACCAGCGAGGAGCGGACGGTGCCGCAGCTCGTGGAGAAACTCATCAACTACATCGAGATGCACGGCCTCTACACCGAGGGCATCTACAGGAAGTCAGGCTCCACCAATAAGATCAAAGAGCTGCGTCTGGGGCTGGACACAGGTCAGACTGACACCAACAACTTTATTACACATAGCCTACATGTGTATCATCCATGTTTTCTAATAATTAATTATGACTTTTTGTTCATTCACTTAGTTATTCTACTGCTGAAATATTAGCTAACTTGAGGATTGAAAGAGTAAAAGCTGATTTTGCGACAAAAGTCCTCAACAATTTCTATACTATACTTGAATATAATCTGTTCTTCTTCAACTACTACCACTATTACTACATTTTCCTCTTCTACTCCTACTACTACTACTATGACCACTCTTCTGGTACTACTGTTTCTTCTTATTCTTGTTCTTTTACCACAACTACTACAGTCACTAGCATTTCATTCTTATTTTTATTATACAACATCTACTACTAGGTATTTTTCTACTAGTTATACTGTACCGTAAATACGTCACATAAAGTTAATTTGCCTGAACGTGTCTGTGTTTGACCAGATGTGAACGTTGTGAACCTGGACGACTACAACATCCACGTCATTGCCAGCGTTCTCAAACAGTGGCTGCGTGACCTGCCCAGCCCTCTCATGACCTTCGAACTGTACGAGGAGTTCCTCCGGGCCATGGGTACGTTTATAATCAGTTATTTAGTGACTCCGTGTTGCTGTTTGTCTCTGCAGAGGCTCCTCCGGCTGAGAGTAAAATGTTACCTGGTCTGATGGTGTGTGTTTGATTTATTTCCAGGCCAGTCAGATCGGCGGGAGGTGATAACAGGAGTGTATTCTGTGATTGACCAGCTCAGCAGGACTCACCTCAGCACGCTGGAGCGCCTCATCTTCCATCTGGTCAGGTAAGTGAAGAGATAAAAAATACAGCATGTTTAAGGAAGAGCTTTTGGTTTTGATGCTCCACAGATCTGGAATAAACGTGCCAAACACCTGTCTGCCCAAACACTGAGTTATTTTAAAGAGGACCTATTATGCTTTTTGGGGTTATCCCTTCCCTGTAGTGCATTATGTAGATTGTGTGCATGTAAATGGTCTGCTAAGGCATGTTTGGACTCCTTTGTTTACTTCCGTAACATAGTGACATCTCTCTGTCACAATCACACTTTTATTGACTAGCGCTCCAACACATTGTACGTGATAGGCTAAGGGGCGGGACATGTCTAAGCGGTCGACCAATCACAACAGAACCGGCCAGCTAACCAATCAGAACAGACAGGGCTCTGGTTTCAGACAGAGGGTGAAAAGAGGTGCTGCAGCACAGGAAGTATGAGAAAAATAAAGAGCTTTGTGAACATTAAAGCATGGAGACATGTCACAGTACAGACACTAAATACTGATATCAACCTGAAAATGATCATAATAGCAAAATGTCTGAGCTGTGGTTCATAGATCTTCTTTCATTTGTTTTTCTCTCACTTGTCAAACACTGGATTAGCTTTCTTGTCACATGCTGCTCTGCCTTTTGTGTGTTTTGTGTGTCATGCTCTGTTTACGTCCACATCAGGATTAACAGGATTACACTGTGGTGTGTTTCAGGATTGCCCTGCAGGAGGACACGAACAGGATGTCGGCCAACGCCCTCGCCATCGTGTTCGCTCCCTGCATCCTCCGCTGCCCCGACACCATCGACCCGCTGCAGAGCGTCCAGGACATCAGCAAAACCACAGCGTACGTCCTCCAGCATCCTCTGTTGTTTCCTGTTATAACTCTTTGGCTCACAGAATCAGTATCCAAATAAGTTAATTGTATATAAGTATATTGATCACTTTTGAAAAGCATATTGAAAAAAAAGCTGGCAAAAGTCAGGACATACACATAGAATAGGGAAATTAAGATAAAGATATGTACAATTTAACTTTTTATATAGAGATAGGATAGACAAGGGCTTGTAAACAAAATAATTGCCTGCAACAGAAAGAAATATGAATTAAAATATTGTACTCGTAGGAAATGTCTCACTTAATTTCATCTCTATTTCTTAAAGGTTGAGGTATTTTGTTTTTGTTTTCCACCTCCATGACTTCTTATCGGTCTCACAGTTAAAGTGTGTTGCAACAAGAGATTAAACACAAAGTGTAAACCACAATTAAAAGTCCAGGCAGTGATGTGGAAACACATGTTGTGATGGTTTAATGTTACCACCAACCCTTTATTGTAGGGACAAAGTTTGAGAATAGTCAATAACTTAATACTCCTTATATCACTTTAATGTTGCAGCTGGTAAAAGTGTAGCTCATTTGAACTCCTTTGTATACTTTATCTGCTGGGTAGCTCATGCATTTCAAAGTCAAAGTTTAAATTTATCGCCAAAAATCTTATCTGGCAACCAATTCATAAACTAATAAAGGCTTTACTAGTTACGATATTCAATGGTATAACCCTGATTTATTTCATTTGAAAAAAGCCAGCAGTCCCTAAAGAAATGTAAACACACAATTAGTAATTAACAAAAACCTGGTCCAATCATATCCTCTATTCTACTTGTATTTAATCATGTCTATTTTTTTTTTTTTGTTACCAACTTTGTATTAAATGTTCCTCTCACCTTCACAAGATGACACAAATATAAATTATATAAATGTAAAATATAGAAAAACAAAATAAGGGCAGGGATACCCTTCCCCGTGTAACCATCCTTTTCAGTCATCAGTACGTCATGAAACTAAGACCTCATTTACACGGGAACGCAAACGAAACGCAAACGAACCGAATTCGATATCAAAAAAGTCTTCCGTTCACACGCAATCGGCTCAAGAAACATGTCCGTTCACACGAGACCGCTCGACACGCTGGAGACGCTGTAGTACATATGCCGGGCCTGTAAGTGGCGCTGTACCTCCGCCACAAAATATACCAAAAGCAGCGAAGAAGACCCCCGAGCATGGTTGCCATGGTTGCCCTTCTGTTTATTCTCCGTGGTGGATGTAGCAACATGTAGTTCATGTAGTTCTCCATGTCCACTTGTTGCTGATGGTTGTGGTAGAGGAGCTGTAGATGTTGCACTAACATCTGTAGCATGGTCAGTAGCAGTAGCAGTAGCTACTGACCATGCTACAGCAGTGAGCAGCAGAGGTGGGGAGAGGCGGGGCTATGGCTTCATCGTTATCAGGAAATGATCGTATAGGGCGTACACACGGAGCCGTTTGACCCCCCAGAGCGATCCGTCCGCAGATCTATCCCCCTTGGGACCCGTTATCGTTTTAAGGGTCTGTTTCCGTGGTTCCGTTGCGGCCTCGTGTGAACTAACGGGCTATACGAAAGAGAAAAGTAGCGGATACAACCCGTTTCGTTCCCGTGTAAACGGCACCTAAGAATCAGAATCAGAAACAGGTTTATTACCAGGTAGGTTGACACGTACGAGGAATTTGACTGTGTCGTGGTGCATACATAAAAGTAAAACTAACATTTAAAACACAGAAAGAGAACTAGAAAAATATAAAAAATACTAAAATATAACAGTATACAAATGGAATGGAATAAAAAGGTATAAAATATGGAATAAAAATCGGCAGTAAAAAATATATTGTTGAAGATGTTGTATGTATCCATTGTGTTACGAGGACATTAAGAGAAGAACGATCGTTCAGCAATGTTTGGGAGACATAGTTTCTGAATCCTGTTCTAATCTAAATGGATCTGTTCCCCTGTAGGTGTGTGGAGCTGATCATCAACGAGCAGATGAGCAAGTACAGAGCTCGTCTGAAGGACATCAGCAGTCTGGAGTTTGCAGAAAGCAAAGCCAAGAGCAGACTGACCCACATCAGGAGGTCCATGGTAAGACCAGACTACTGTCAACAGCCCTTTAAGCTCATAAACCAAGTTACAAAACATGTTCATGGAAAGAAATCCTCACTGCGTGGCATCGACATGGATGTTTTTCCAACTCGTTCCTCTCACTCATCATTTAAATGGCGACTCAGCAGTTTTTCAGCTCCACAAGCAGCTGGCATGGTTTTCACACAGCCATGGCATTCATACATCTCATACATTCGTTTTTTGCTACACAAGCACAAGGGGATTTCAATTTGAAATATGTACACAGCGGGACACTTTGCATGCAAAAAAAAGAGCTCTAGGAATATTATCTTACATAGAAATGACTCATTGAGGTTTCACATATTCAACAGTCCTCCCTTTTATATCAATATTTGTTGAGTTATAGTTTTTTATTGCGTGTTCCAACTCTTGTCTTCTAACTTACTTCAAAGTCACAGCAGGTATTACCAACTTTGAATATGTAAAAGTTAATGGTGCTCAGTTTGGACGTTTAAATGAATACATCTTAATAAATAAGCAAAAGAATGAGACAAAGTAACAGGCAAAGAAAACAGAAAAACAGCTGGGGTTCTTTACTTCTTTACTTCTAACACATTTGAACTGTATATAATTATGTAAAAAGGAAAACCAAACTAAATGTAGCTGTTGTGCAAAACAGCAAATCAGTGACTTTTTAAACATTATTTAACTTCCAATCTTAAGATTTCAACCAAATTCAGGATCTTTCAATGGTATTTTATTATAGCACTGAACTAATATGTATGCATTTACATGTAAACACCACATAGTGAACAAAGAAAAAACTCTTCCCAACCAAATTTAGCTCAGTTTGAATCAAAATATCTCGACATCTTTTGACCCACACTTACTTTATTACCCTCACCGCTCCCTAACCCTAATCTGTCCTTCCTTCCTTCCTTCCTTCCTTCCTTCCTTCCTTCCTTCCTTCCTTCCCCACCCCTCCTTCCAGAAACCCATACTAATTGCTGTTAGGTTTTTGAGCATAGCCCGCACGTCCACCCCGGTATGTATGCCCCTCTCACTCCATGTGTCCAACAACGCCATCACCACTGTCCTGTCCGTCAGTCTGATCCGTCCCACACCGTCTCCACTCATATCGCCTTTCACTGTCACTGTCCCCGTCACGTCCGTCTGTAGCTATAGAGCTTCTTTCCTCTAAAATAATTACTGCTTGTTATTTAATGTTTGTGCTTCACTTAAAGGTCCCCTATTATACTGTTTTCCATCAATATATTATAGGTCTCAGATATATACAAAACATGTCTCTGAAGTGTTTGGCTCCAAACTCCAAACAGATCATTGCAGCATCCCATAATCCCCTCTGTTTCAGCCCTGTTTCAAAAGTGCTGATTCTCTGTCTGTTACTTCAGATGAAAATACGGAGCCCCTCCCCACGCCCCTCTGAGAGATATTTGGTTACAAATAACAAAATGGTGCTCTAGGAGGAGATTCAGGTGATAAGGTGGGGGGGGTTACCTTGGTTGGTGATTGGCTAATGGTTACACAAGCCAAAACATCGTTATGACATCATAAAGTGGCCAAAATCTGATCAGCTCATTTTCAGACAGGTTTTTATATAAATGGATCAGGACAAAAAGAGAGAGAATCTTTTCTCCTGAAACTTTCAGAGTCTCTTTACACAGAGGGGACACATGTTGATGTAGAAGAGACATGAACAAGTGGATTTTGCATAATAGGTGACCTTTAATGTAATACTGCCGGCAGATTTTTAAGTAAAAGTAGGAAATATAAATAATTTCTTACTATTTCTGTTGTTAGATGATGTCTGCTTTGACCTTAATTAGTTTTCTTGCTTGATAATCAGGGATACAGAGCACTGAACTATGACTCGAGTTCAGTTAACTTCACACTTTTATGACATTTTTAGACATTGGTCATTGTTGAATGAATGTAACTGATACATTATTTAATTATTTACTATTAAAATTGTTTTGGGCTTTCACATCAAACTAGTGGACATGGCTTTGCACAAAGGATGCCATCTGTTTGTGCCGGGGTTTATTACATTAATTTCAATTTAGTCCCCAAAAAAACTGAGTCTGCAGGTTCAGAACTTCACTTATGTTGCTAGATTGTCAGACTTGGTTTGAACTTCACGTTTTGTTTAACATAAAATTGACTAAAGTTGCTTTTCAGCTTCTAAGCAACTTGTGTGTGAGAGCAGCTGGGATCTGATTAGCAGCTAACACTAGCTAACAATAAGTCAAATAGATTCTTATGAAGCCACTTTTAAACAGAACAGCTAGAGGCGGATTAAGCATCTGCTAACACTGTTGAGTTGACTTCACACTAAGATATGGCTCAAAATCTTGCTCTGTTTTTTGAGTATAATTAATTATAATAAGAGTTTCCATTGTGGTGTTGTTGCTTTGTCTGCTAAGTCTCTGTGGTTAGCAAACCAAGCTAACTACCTAGCTTTTTGCTAGAAGCATCCCATTCAATGTTATCAAACTCGCACTACTCTTCATGTGGGATAAATGAGGCCTATTATTTCATGTTTCTGACTATAATTGATTGAAATTAGTCAATTACTGTATATTTTTACAGTTTCCCGACACGGTTCAGTTTGTAGAACTTCTGTAACTGAAGGTATCTCTATGTCAAAGTTACGGCCCGTCCACACAGCGGCGTGCGTTGAAGCTTCAACGCTTCTGCCCATTCGCTTTGAATGGGGTGACGTCACGTTTCTCCGAACTGCATTGTGGGAGCGAAGCGTAGCTTCAAAAGCGTGGCTCGCTGCAAAAGTTGAGCAATGTTCAACTTTTGAAGCTTCGGCGGAAGCGTCAGCCAATCGAATCATATGCCAGTACAAGCTTTAGCCAATCAAACCGCGTGCTTGTGTGTCCGGGGCGGGAGATTCATGTGATTGGTTGTTGGTCGAGTTTCAGCCCCCCCCCCCGCCGGCAAGCTTCAACGCACGCCGCTGTGTGAGAGAGCAGCACTTGCTCTTTGCTTTTTGTTTCTGCTTTTCAACTTATTATCAAGCAGCCTAGCGCAGCGAATTTGCATATATGTGTGTGTCTGCAGCAGAGGTGTGTTTGTGTGTGTTTGTGTAGCTGACCTCATAGTTTTTAGCCGTGTCTTCGTGAACTGATTGTCAATATGTGTAGTCGCTATTTGTTCAAGACATCCAACCGTGTCGATAGAGTCCGCTGTCTGTGCTCCATCGCTGTCAATGTCAACAGAGAACTGATTATTGATATTATTCATTATGATTATTCATTATTATGCCCTTATACAGCCTCCACTAACATGCTCTGTGATTTCTGTGTGAACTTGCAGTGCAAAGGCCGCGTTCGGCAAAGCAGCACCAACACGCTGTCGCCGCCTCTCAGCCCTAAAGTGCCCCCAGTGGTGGTGGATGGAGAGAGTGATGGAAGTGGAGGAGGAGGAGGAGGAGGAGGAGGAGGAGGAGGAGGAGGAGGAGGAGGAGAAGAAGGAGGAGGAGAAGGAGAAAGAGGAGAAGGAGGAGAAGGAGAAGGAGCAGAGGAAGCAGCAGAGGCCGGGCTGAGTGATCAGCAGCAGATGGCGATGCAGCAGGAAGAGAGGATCCTCACCGAGCAGATCGAGAGCCTGCAGAAAGAAAAGTATGACGCCCCTCTGGTTCATCTTTAACAAAGCCTAGCAGATGTCATTGGATGTGCTTGGTTTCATATGTCACATAAAGTTTGTGCAAGAATTAGGAAATCACATCGATGGTATACACTGGAAAAAATGCTGCTCCAAAAACGAGTTAAAAAATATAAATAATAATAATAAGTTGTAATGTAATGAAAACAAGTTGTTTTTGCTTGTAATAAGTCAAACAAATCTGCCAAAAGAAGTGTACAATTGCTTGTTAAAAAATGTTGAAATAAGATGCGATATTAGATCAAGGAGATCTTGAAATTAACTGGGAAACAAATAGGAAATGTTTCAGGCACATTTATCTTATTTCAAGTTTCATACTCACACTGAGTAACAGTGAGTAACAGTGAAGGTTAACAGGACATAGCACCTTTAACCAGGGTTCGAGTTATAAACTGAGCTCACACACACACGAACACACACACACACACACACACGAACACACACACACACACACACACACACACACACACACACACACATGAACACACACACACACACACACACACGCGAACACACACACACACACACGAACACACACACGCACACACACACGCACACACACACACACACACACACACACACACACAGCAGCAGCCCTAAACAAGATTAGGAATTGTTATTTAAGAGAACATGTGACTTTTAAGTTAGCTGGAAATACTTCTAAAGCAAGTTTCAAAGTGTGATGATTGAAAAGTAAGTATCAAGTAAACAATGTCATCAAAAACGTTTCTTGTTGGTAAGTCACTCTGCACTCAACATTGCTTACAAAACCCATTAAAAGAACTAAGAAGATGCTTCAAACAATCCACTGTTCCAGGTAAACTAGTAGCTGTGTTTATTTATTGAGCGTCATTATTAAGCAATCTGTTACATTGATCCCTTCAGGGACACACAAACACAGCATGGTATCTCTTATCAGGACAACATTGACCTTTGTATATTTTTAGTAGCAGGGATTTAAGGTCAGTTAAAATAGCAAATAAACACCCTTAAGTTTAGTTGTAAATAAAATGATTTAGATAAGCTTGTAACCTGGCTCTTGTGTGTGTGTGTGTGCAGGGAGGAGCTGACGTATGAGATGTTGATCCTGGAGCCGCGGACGTCTGATGATGAAACTCCTGAATCTGAAGCCTCCATCGGCACAGCAGACAGCTCGGAGAACATCACCATGGAGACGGAAGGAGCCACATCAGACCCCTTTGGTGTGTGTGTGTGTGTGTGTGTGTGTGTGTGTGTGTGTGTGTGTGTGTGTGTGTGTGTGTGTGTGTGTGTGTGTGTGTGTGTGTGTGTGTGTGTGTGTGTGTGTGTGTGTGTGTGTGTGTGTGTGTGTGTGTGTGTGTGTGTGTGTGTGTGTGTGTGTGTGTGTGTGTGTGTGTGTGTGTGTGTGTGTGTGTGTGTGTCCGCCCCCCCACTAATTACTCAAAAAATAAAACACAAATAGATTTTAAATATATACAATGTACCAGCTGCTATTAAAGGGCCATGTTTTCTGATTTCTTAATCTTTTACCCTTCTTGGTCACATTTTCACTTTTGAATTGGCGCTTTATCAGGTGACCCATGACACTTTACAGAGGTAAAAAAAAATGATAAAAAGTCACATTTCAATAGACATGTATCACAAGGACACAGCAATAATCACACATTAAAAGCTGGTCTGAAAGGTGAGATGTAGTCAGTGTTTTCAAGGTGGCGAGGTTAGTGCAGTTTCTGATTTGTTGTGGTAATGAGTTCCAGATTGTAACCCTCTCTGCTCTCTCTCCGCAGAACGTGGCCCTTATCACGGCAGAAAGTCGGAGTCAAAAAGCCGCCGAGCTTTACGCCGTCAGCCCGACTCCCAGGACTCAGCAGACTCCATCTCCACCGTCTCCTCCTACCACCCGTCCTCCTCTCTGTCCTCCAACGCCTCCGGCTCGCCCTCCCCTCACTACCGCTTCCGCTCCTCCTCCTCCGGGCCCCTGCTCTCCTCCTGTGGGCTGGGGGCCCCGTTGGCAGAAGCCGACGGAGGCCAAGGAGCCGCGAAGAGCCGCCACCGGATCCGTCTGAGTCGCAGCTCACCTCGGGAACCCTCGGGGGGGATAAGGAGGGACTCTGACTTCGGCTCGGGGCCACAGCAGCTGGTTCTGTACGGCAGCAACGAGTTCATGGTGTGAAGACAAGGAGGGGAGGAGCCGCTGAGGTTACAAGTGTAGGAAATGAGGAAGGGGAGGGAGAGGCCGGGGTTTAACGAGGCAAGATATGTGCTCAGTATCGCCTCCTAATGCTTCCTCTTCTTTTTAAGAGTCAGAACAGGAAGTTGTGGGGATAAAAAAGGACTGGAAATATGTAAAAGAGGGACAAAAAGACAGGGGATGATTCATAAAATCTGGAACCGAGTGAAGACATGTCTCGGTCCGAGGAAAGAGACGATTGAGGAAAAACCCACACCTGCAAAAGCCAAATCTTACAGAGCCCCATCTTAATTTGTTAGCATGTGGGCAGGTGGAGAAAGCCACCCAGAAGAGATGTAGCCATACTGACTGACCTGGCGGACGCTCTGTCTGTAACCAGCGCCAAGTTAGTCTGCTTTTCACGTTTACACAGAACACACAGAGGCTGCATGCATCTCCATCATCACTTTCTCCTCCGTCAGTTTGAAGAGACTGTACAGAAATATGTTACATTATTATTATTATTATTATTATTATTATTATTATTATTAAAGAGGAAAAATATGTACATAGAAAAAAACTCCAATGCTGCTCCTTGGTTGTTCATTGTTTAATATTTCTACTTCCTGTTTTCTATTTGACAAAGTGAAGTGTCAGGAATTCAGGTTCCACTTTTGTTTCTGTGCTGGGTGTTTTGCTCGGTTTACCGTCATTTGAGTACTTTTTTCTTTCTCTTTTCCTGTTACACAATGAACAGAGCCAGCGTTGGGTGTCCTCGGGTCGTACTCTGGAGAAATAATAATAGAAGGAAAGGCTGTGTGTGTGCGCTCACAGAGATACGAGTCTGGTGGTGTCACGTTTACTTTACCGGATGTGTCAAATGTCAATCAGCCATAAGTGTATTGTATCTGCGAGCCTTCTGTTTCCCCTTCTGTTTTACTCAGAAACATCAGTGTTACTACGTCAGGACTTGAATTTTTGTTGTATACATCTATATAAATATATATATTATTGCTGTATTATAGGTGTTGTTATTGATATCAAAGATGTCATTTTTTTGTTGTCAATATTGTCTATTTTTGCTCAGATGAAAGCCATTTTTTCTTCCCTGTGTGTGTGTGTGTGTGTGTGTGTGTGTGTGTGTGTGTGTGTGGTGTGTGTGTGTGTGTGTGTGTGTGTGTGTGTGTGTGTGTGTGTGTGTGTGTGTGTGTGTGTGTGTGTGTGTGTGTGTGTGTGTGTGTGTGTGTGTGTGTGTGTGTGTGTGTGTGTGTGTGTGTGTGTGTGTGTGTGTGTGTGTGTGTGTGTGTGTGTGTGTGTGTGTGTGTGTGTGTGTGTGTGTGTGTGTGTGTGTGTGTGTGTGTGTGTGTGTGTGTGTGTGTGTGTCCACTTTGTGTAGTCTTCATTACACACACATACACAGTGTAACATGTTGACTTGCTAAGGTGAAAATGACTTTAGGTGACACTATCTCAGACTTATGAAATCTTTAATAAGTCTAAGAATCATTGCACGCTTTCATACCGTCCATGATGTCCTCCGAGCCACCCAGAATACTCTTCTTCTTCTTCTCTTTCTGTTTCTACTACTTCTTCCTCTTCTTCTTCCTCCATCCTATTCTCTCGCCGCTCTGGCTGTGAAAAGTAGCATTATTTACTCTTACTCTTGCCTGTTAACCAGACACAAACAAGTAGCAACTAACTCAGACCGTCCCCGTCTTTCTGCATATTCTAACAGTGTAATATTCCTTTTTTTGGGGCATACTCAGTAGCTTAACAGCAAAGATGTCTCCGTACTTTAGCTGCAATATCTCTCCTTGCTTGCAGCGTCTGTGATTCGATGCTTTTGAGCAGCATTTGCTCGGATCTCACAACACAGTCAGTGTTAAACAACTTCTCCTTGAAGCTGGACGTCTCTTTGAAGACCGTGCTGATCTCCGTTTTAATGCAAGTGTGTTGTCTTTTTACAACATAAAACTGTAGACCTGTAAAGATAGAAAAAAAAAACAGTTTCAGAGGTGAGCTGAAAGGACAGTTCCAAATATCTTTGAGCTGATATTTAATGGGATGGAAACATGTCCAGGCTGTTAATATGGCAACAACAAAAAAAAGTGAATGTACCTGTCACTGGAAAGCATGCTCTGCTTTCTCTGGTTGTTTTTGTTCCTCTTTTATACACAGTGTATGTACTATTTATGATCATGCTTTTGGGATGTACATTGGTTTAAAAGAATCTGTTATAAAAGGTGTTATAAAAGGATATATTATCCTGTGTACGGTTCATTATCTACTATTAATCATGGCAACATTTTAACAGGCCGCACTAGGTCTGTCATGTTTGTGCTACGAAGTGAGAAACAAAAAAAAGAAAAGCGCTGTGTCTCTCTGTCTGCGCCACTCTGGACACGGTTATGTATAAGGTGCAATTTGTGTTATATTTCTTTTTTTTAATGATACAAACATGTTTATGGTTGTAAGAAAAAAAGACTTCATCTGCTTATTAAAAAAGCAAAACTGCAGCCAAACACGAGTTGAGTTATATTTTGTCTCATGGATGTTATTTCCCTTTTCAACACTTATATTTTCACACGTTTGTGTTCCTTTCCAGTATAAGATATAGTTAAAGGCAGGGTTTGAGTTATGTGGGAGCCAATGGGAGCTGAGCTCCCATAAGGAGGGGTCTGAGCTCCCATAAGGAGAGGTCTGAGCTCCCACGGACGCAGTGAAATCATACATCTGTGGGGGTCGCTAATACATTACCAACAACCATTATTTTAATCACAAATAATGCATGTGTCAATGTAATGAGTATTATTTACGTTAACGAGGTAAATAGGCTAAAAGAAAAACATGTTTTCCAAAAGAACTACGCATCTCTTGAATGATACTTGATAATATGCCTGCGCTGCACCTCCAAGGTGCGCAATCTATGCCTGTGAGCGTGCTGCGCGAGCCGAGATGATGTACCTTTTCATATTTAAGTTTGTAGCAAGTACAGGGTGTGTGTGTGTGTGTGTGTGTGTGTGTGTGTGTGTGTGTGTGTGTGTGTGTGTGTGTGTGTGTGTGTGTGTGTGTGTGTGTGTGTGTGTGTGTGTGTGTGTGTGTGTGTGTGTGTGTGTGTGTGTGTGTGTGTGTGTGTGTGTGTGTGTGGTGTGTGTGTGTGGTGTGTGTGGTGTGTGTGTGTGTGTGTGTGTGTGTGTGTGTGTGTGTGTGTGTGTGTGTGTGTGTGTGTGTGTGTGTGTGTGTGTGTGTGTGTGTGTGTGCGCGCGCGCGCTCAGTTTATAACTCGAACCCTGGTTAAAGGTGCTATGTCCTGTTAACCTTCACTGTTACTCACAGTGTGGGTATGCTTGACGTCTGAAGAAAAATGTGCATTCCTTGGTTGGAAAGACAATGACAAAAACAAGTGAGACAATAGGTGAGTATAGTGAAAATATTGAACTAGTAGATCAACTTTCTCAGTTCATTTTTAACATTAATACATTACTTACATTAAGACAATTATATTTTGTCTAACAAGTTTGCCGAATGTTTGAATATGCAAATTGCCCATTATATAATGCTTTTTTGAGCTAGATTTGGGATATATCTATTGGTTCTTTCGACTAGTCTAAGACAAGTACAAAAAAAAGAAGCAAAATAGACAACTTCAAAATCGACAGTTCACTAGTTTGTAGTGACTTTTCTGGTGAAATGTGGCATTTCTTCACGTGTTACTGCCACCAACAGGAAGGTGTGTTCATTGCAACACTGTAAACCTTAAAGAGGCCCTATAATGCTTTTTCCCTTTCCTGTAGTGTGTCATTTAGGTTTTTGTTCTGCAAAGGCTAAAATTCCTCCAAAGGGAGTTCCTTTCAGACACTCAAAATACAAATATGAACCTGAAAAAGAGCATAATATGTCTTCTTTAAATAGGCCTCATTCAATACTGGACATTAAACTCAACATCCAGTTTAGCCCTTTTTTCCTAGCACATCTTTTTAAGAGCATAATCTTTTTAAGACATATATTTCACAGGCTTGAATAATCAAGTGATTTATTGTTGGTTTATTCCGTTTAGGGACCTTAGCAATCATTAGTATTACTCGTATCACTCGTCTTACCATCGCAGGTCAAATCGTTTCCTGTCAGAATGAGGATTAGTCATAAAGTAATTCGCCCTCAGGGAACACAGCTGGGTGTATCATGTCATCGGATACAATGGATTTGAATACTGGATATTATGTAAATGCTTGGTGTGGCACTCTTTTGTTCTGATGGTATTTATATCTAATGTGGTATCAGTTTTGTTTCTCTAGAAACTGGGTGCCGTTTTACTATCGATTTTTAGGATATATACTATTTTGAGCAACTTTTTAAAACGTTTTTTTATGGCTGACTTTTAATATCAGAGCCAGTTGGTTTGATTTGTATTTTACAGTGAACGTATACATGTATTTATAATTATAGTGATTTATAGATCTATTGATTTATGGAGAACGTAAAGTTAACATAAGATAAACCTTTATTGGTCCTATAGTAGGGATATCCAGGAAGCAACCTCTTAATATGACCTCTTACGTTATGTATTTATTTGTATATTGACTATTATTATATTAATTGAATACAACATCTTAAATATTTGTATTGTTGTGTTTTTATTCTATCGCATGTTCGTTGTTTAATTGTTTTATTTTAAAATATACATAAGTTGCATTTGTCTTTCTTCATAAAGGGTGAAAAGTGAAACTAAACGAGCAGCAGGGAAGTTTCCACCATCACGTGAAATTAGGTTTTGTTTTGCAAATATGCGACCAGCCTATTGACATGCGATCAGATAATAAAACACACACTCATACACACTGCCCAACTATGTAGCTGACAGGACGGATGGGAGGGGGAAACAAAACAAGATACATTGAGTTTCTTTTCCGCCTAAATGAAACTTAATGTCCAAAGGTTTTGATATGATGTGGCTATGATTCACCTGATGACTCCTCCCGTGCCAATATAACAGCTGACTGCACGTGAAATCTGGCACTCAACCCAGCTGACACAACACACACACACTGCAAGGTGAGTCCATTCCTTTCATTTCTTCTATTGTATTTTTTATTTGATCAGTAAAATACCTTCAACAATAACCTTACATTAACTTTTAAATGGCTAACTTACATTTTGAAAGGTTTTATAAACTATTTTGGCTATTATTTGTAGTGCTTTGTCAGAAATATATATTATGTTATGGGTGTATTCCTTCATGTTTACTCTTTTAATACTTGCAGATGTCTGGTGAAAAAATCATTGTTTTCTTTGACCTGGAGGCCACTGGATTAGGTAACTATCATTACTTTTATGTCTGTTTGACTGCTTATCAATACTTATCAGCAGTGGTGGAACTCAGATAAGTAAAATACCAAATGGTAAAAGTGACTGTCCTGCATTCAATCAAAAGTACAAAATGATTGGCATTAAAATGTACATAAAGTACCAAAAATAAAAGTACTCGTTATGTGTAATTGCCCATTTCAGAATTATACTTATTATTAAATTACTGGTGTATGATTATTGATGTAAGTGTGTTTATCACAGCTAAATCTGAAAAACATAATCTGAAAAAAACTTGGGTAAAGTAGATTAAAGATCACCCTTTATATATCCCTACCTCATTGTATAACAATATATGTTATAAAATGCACCTTTTTATGTTCATTTGTGATTAAATGAATCCGTTCTTTGGGTGTAAAGGTTCATATTTGATATGCTCCACTTTTCGATGACTTTTATCCACTTTATTATCACAAAATATATGATATCAAAGTAGTATTTTTAATTTTACACTTGACTAATATGGACTTCTATTTTTTAATAACAGTGCCTAATTTGGCATTTAATCAACCTACAAACCCTTGTTTTTTTAGATAAAGTGTTGTGTGTGTAATATTTAATTGTATACCGGACATGTAACAATCCCATTAATACAAACCATCACCATAATAGTTGTATCAAGGCTCCTCCTGTTATCTGGCAAGCGTCAGCTGTAATTTATAATGTGATATGGAGGACTTGCTGTTCCTATTTTTATTGGTTTAGATGATCACATATGTATCAGTCTCTGTTTGCAATAAAAGGGTGGAGTATCACCTGCTGTCGTTACACAACATATAGGCTATTAGCACAGATGACGTCCGGGCCAAACCACAAACATGCTCCTCTGGTGCCACAGGAAACCTCAGCTTCATGACCCAAACAGGAAGCAACATGCAGATTTATATCATAGAAATTATAAAAAAGTAATACATTGACAAACATTTACATTAAAGAGATTTAGGGCTAAATGCAAAACCAGCTATGCAGGGCCACACTCAACATGTTTATATTCGAAATGGATAAAATGACTATGACTCAATACTTCAGGTGCATTTGTCAGTAGTTTATGACTTTTAAAGAACAAATAATTAAGGGATAAATTGAGGTTATTGATAATACAAATAACTACACAGGTTGCAGCCTTGGTTCTTAAAATGGTCTGAAGGTAAAACCAGAAGCTGAGAGAACAGTCATTGTGACTTTAAAGCGAAGTTCCTGATTCTCTCATGCAAATAACTCACGAGCTCATTACCACACATTTAGCAGGATGGCGTGATCAGAAAACTCTGATGCAGGTATGAGCGTGTAATGGCTGCACGCGCCACCAGAGGCCGCCACCTACCCAGAGATAAAAAATAATAACTACAACAATCAGATGTTCACAAATTTGTTTACTAAAACATGTCAATCACTACAATTTAGAGGCAAATATTTCCCTTTTAACTACATTTATTTGAAAATTACAACTAATTGTAAAATTCAGTCTCGGATTAATAATCCCAAATATAATAAACGTCTATCACATATACATTTTAAATTCAAATGAGACTTAATTGATTCCATTGTGAAATTCACAAACGACCTGATTGTAGGTACATTTAAATAAAAATATTTTACCAGCAACAAATAATGCATCAATAATTATAAAAACAATAATTTAAATTATTCTAAAAATAAGTACTTTTACTGTTTGTACTTTAAAGGTCACCTATTATACTCTTGTTCAACAATATATTATAGGTCTCAGATATGTACAAAACATGTCTCTGAAGTGTTTGGCTAAAAAAACTAAAACAGATCATGCATTGTAGCATGCCATACACCCCTCTGTTTCAATAATAATGATAATAATAATAGATTACATTTGTTATAGCGCCTTTCAAGGGACCCAAGGCAGCTTTACATGCTGTGAACAAACAAACAAACAAGTAGGGCAAATAATAAAGTAAAAATTATATAAATATTCAATATTCAGCCCTGATTGATGGATTTCTTGCAAATAAGGAAAAGGTCATTACATACAGCAATATGAAATTGAGTTTCTGTTCCTCCGGATGCTGCTGCTTGCATTATATTCTGCACAAAAAAAGCAGAAGGAAATGCAAAACATCCTCTTGAAACGTCGGACATTTTAGTTTCTATTTGACATGGTTCAGTTGTTAAGACTTGAATTTACTTCCTTGCTGCACACAGAATGGGAAAGGGGGAAATAGCAGTTTGCTGACAAGACAATATTTGTTTTATATATATACATTTATTAGTGCTTATATAGCCTACAGTAACAATCTTATGTTATATACATAAAAAGTGAATTGCCAGAATATTGACTTCCTCCATCGCAGCATCAGTCAATATGCTGTTCATTTAACTTCTTATATTTATATAATATTTCACTATATTATGTTATCTTTAATGGACCTTTTTAATTTAAATTATTATGTTTATATGATTTCTTATTTTAACCAATTTGATTTTATCTTAATACTACACATTCTTACTAAATGTTGTATTTTTCTGTTATCCTCTGTTAAAAAAATATATCACTCATCACTGGCTTGAGTTTCAATATCAGGATCCATGTATGTATTATCCTTGCAAGAATGGAAGTAGTCATCACATACAGAGCATCAACTAGTTCCTGAACAGTGTCCTTCACATGCTGATATACAGAGAGGGAGTTACACAGTCACAAGATGCAGGAATACTGGTTCAAAGCAGTATTCTATGCTTAGTTCAGATTACCTAGGGCCCACGTAAGCAAGAAACATGACAGTCATGTGTCTATCTCTCTACAGTCATGTGTCTATCTCTCTACAGTCATGTGTCTATCTCTCTACAGTCCTATCTCCATAGGGGCTGAATCATCATGTTAATCGTAGGAACATAGCTATCGTATGTTCAACACAGTGTCTCATGAGCGTCATCCATTTAATCATACATCCAGTTACGTACACATTTACAGTTGGGCCTCTGTTATCATGTGCTACTCTGATATTGAAAGAGTACATTCAGTATTTTCCCAACATCCTCCTTTAATCAATTTCCTCTCTACTTTCAGACACTGATGTGTGCGACATCATCCAGTTGGGGGCCATCTGTGGACGGATGGACTTCAACCGCTACATCCTGCCGACCCGCCCCCTCACTGAGAGCGCCAAGCAGGTGACGGGTCTGACCTGCAGGGATGGCTGCCTGTTTCTCCGCGGGACTCAGGTGGAAACCGTCCCTATGGAGGAAGCTCTCACCTCCTTCCTCGACTACCTCCGCTCTTTCCGTAAGCCCGTGCTGCTGGCGGCCCACAGTGCAATGCGGTTTGATGCACCTGTGATCACCAGATGGCTGCGTAAGCACTCCCTGCATACGGAGTTCAAGCAGGTGGTCTCTGGGTTTGTGGATACCTTCCCGCTGAGCAAGAACCTCCATCGGGGTCTGAGCAGTTATTCTCAGGTCAATATGGTGCGTCACTTCCTGGGAAAGAGCTACAGCGCCCACAATGGAGTGGAGGACGCCAGCATGCTGCAGGAGCTGTTCAACTCATGGAGTCCCAGCCAAAAGAGCATCTCCAGGGTGACCTACCCGACTTAAAGGTCACCTATTATGCAAAATCCACTTTTTCATGACTTTTATACATAAACATGTGTCCCCTCTGTGTGAAGAGATTCTGAAAGTTTCAGGAAAAAAGATTCTCTCTCTTTTGGTCCTGACCCATTTATATAAAAACCTATCTGAAAATGAGCTGATCAGATTTTGGCCACTTTATGATGTCATAACGATTTTTTGGCAAGGTAACCTTGGTTGGTGATTGGCTAATGGACAATCACCTGAATCTCCTCCTAGAGCACCATTGTGTTCTTTTTAACCAAATATCTCTCAGAGGGGCGTGGGGAGTGGCTCCTTATTTTCATCTAAAGTAACAGACACAGAATCAGCACTTTGAAACAGGGCTGAAACAGAGGGGATTATGGGATGCTGCAATCTGTTTGGTATTTCGAGTCACTAACACTTCAGAGACATGTTTTGTATATATCTGAGACCCATAATATATTGATGAAAAACAGTAGGGGACCTTTAAAGAAAGATTAGCGACAGAAAATATATATTATATTTATATATCAATTTTCTTTGTTACACTGTTCATTCTGCAAGTTAAGTTTTGTTGTTTAATGTAACATGTGTCATAATCACAGGTGGTTGTCTTAAATTGTTGCACTTTTTTCCCACAAATAAAGATTTATTTTCTATTTGATTCTACCAGAAACTCTGGACTCTTTTTGAAATGACACTGTCATCTGTGGAGAAATGTCTCTCGTCATTAGACCAGCATGCAAAACAGCCTCATGCTTTGTTTTGTTAGTGAAGCTTAATTTATCATTATTTTCATGGGTAAGAAAGAGCATGTAGCATATAAAGAGACGCATGCATGTTAAAAGTTTAAAAGTAGAGACACAATGCACAAACTGACAATATCTGACAAAAACATATTATAAAAAATAGTTATTTACAATCTCCCTGAAATGCAGCAAATAAGACGAGACACCACATAGAACAGTGTAGAAGAATCAGAAACAACATACAGTAGGCCTATAGCTACATGGTAAAACTGTCTGTGAGTTAGTGTGGTCATCTACCAATCGAAAGGTCTGTGGTTTGATTCACAAATGTGTTTTCGTGCACATAAATGGTCTGCAAAGGCTAACATTTCTCTCCTACACACTCCCCCCCCCCCCCCCCCCCCCCCCCTGCCTGAAACGCCTCAATTGGATTCCTTTGTTTAAAGGTCGTCATGAAATCCTAAATCCTAATGGCTGTCCACAGTTCACTCTCTCTTCCTGTGCGCATTGTTCTCTTGCCTTCTGGCTTCAGCGCGAATGCGCGATTAACAGTCCTCAAGGTGTCAAAACCACAGAGCCTCTCCTATTGTGACATTTTGCATGCAAACTTTTTTAAACCGAGACGTAAAGCGTATGTATTTGGGAACCTATCCATGTGAACATATTTTGGGGGTGGACCTCAAATCCTCTAAGGGGGTCCGGGGGCATGCCCCCCCTGGTAAGATATTTTTTTAATTTTGGAGTTAAATGCATCAATCTGGTGCATTTTGAGGGGAAAATAAAGAGACTAGATCTATGGAAACACCCATATGAAACAGATGCCACATCATGTAGACAGACAGTCACCCTGTGTGAGGCAAACCCACATTTGCGCAGCGTTGCGTTCACAATAGCCTACATTAAGGCCATCGGGAAACCTCCCGGCCCTCCCGATGGTCAGTCTGGGCCTGCCAGCAGCCCTCTACTCGCTACAAGCTTAAATATGAAAACATAGCCGTGGGAACATGTTTCAAATGGGGGGTGCTGTGGGGATGACACCAGGGCCGGTTCTGACCAATTTGCTGCCCTAGGCAAGATTTTTGCTGGTTCATTTATATCTTATTTGACCAGTTAACATTTATTTATTTATTTATCCATATTTTTTAATCTCTCCAGTTTTAAAGGATATTGTTGGTTTACTGTCCTATAGTATACATTGGAATGATTTCAAACCTGTTTTTATTTATCCTAATAATTATAAAGGTGTGCCTTGGAAATATTTGTTTACATAAATTGTGATAAAACCGTTTGAGACACACTGTGATAACTTAGACTAAAGTGAACTATCTAAACACTCAGAGTCCTTTACCTCACTGAGCCTCTCAGGGCACATGGAAAACATTTTTTGGTATTATATTTGTATTATATTTCCATTTAATCTTGTGGACGTGCAGATTCCCTGTCCTCCATCAGGGGGTGCTGCAAGCACCCTCAGCACCCCTACTTACCACGGCCCTGTATGAAAAGGTTAAACTACGCACACACACATGATCTCGGCTCGCGCAGCACGCTCACAGGCATAGATTGTGCAAGAGGTGCAGTGCAGGCATATTGTTATTCAAGAGATGCGTTGTTCTTTTGGAAAACATGTTTTTATTTTCAATAATACTAATTACATTGACACATGCATTATTTGTGATTAAAATAATGGTTGTTGGTAATGTATTAGCGACCCCCACAGATGTATGATTTCACTGCGTCCGTGGGAGCTCAGACCCCTCCTTATGGGAGCTCAGCTCCCATTGGCTCCCACATAACTCGAACCCTGCTTACTTCCATCCAAACAAACTAAAGCCAATCATTAATGTAGTTTACAATGGTACATTTCATGGAGGCAGGATTTGTAGGTGTCACGGCCACTGCAGATCTGTCAACACCCCCATGTTCAGAGGGTCGCCCACTGTATTCCTCACTTACGGTCTGGGAGCGGAGCAGGACAGTTCAACATTATGATTATTTAGTTTAAAACCAACATTAGTTTCATTCGTTTTCCACAAAACAGTGACGACAGCAGCCTGAACTCTGGGCCAAGTCGGGTCAAACCGTAGACCTGTATTGAAACTGAAACTAAACGAACTGCGGGGAACTTTCTACATTCACTGGAAACTCGCTTAGTTTTGCAGCTGCGGCGGACAAGACAAAACAGGCAGGTCCAGTACACGAGGACACTGAACAAATAACAAAAAAGCATCTATATTCCTAGTTGAGTTCAGTTTGTGGAGGTTTTGTGGCAGTGACAGGATTATTTCAGCGTCCACGGTGAGTTCTGCATCTTTTCTCTCTTTTTTATACATTTCCGACTTTATCAGTCGCCTAACTTTACTCCTACTTTGAATTAGCTAGCATACATATTGAAAGCAATACGTATTTTGACTACTATCTTTTAATGCTTTGTCCACTGCATATGTGAATGTAGCCTATGCTCAAATGACTTTTTCTTTTAATTTGTGCAGATGGCTCGGCAGGGTACCATCGTTTTCTTTGACCTTGAGACCACAGGATTACGTAAATAACATTTACTTTATGTCTGTTTACAAATACTTACTATAGTTGCTTATTAGGAAAAATTATTTCACGTATTGTTGGGGAGTTTTGGGGTCCCTGGAGTGTGTGTGTGTGTGTGTGTGTGTGTGTGTGTGTGTGTGTGTGTGTGTGTGTGTGTGTGTGTGTGTGTGTGTGTGTGTGTGTGTGTGTGCGCACACACACACACACACACACACACAGGGCCGTATCCAGGATTTCATAAATACCGAGGTCCAAACATGATAAGGGGGTTCGGGGGTATACTCTCCCTGAGATTTTTGGGATTTTCATGATCTAGTTAGGTGCTTTTTAAGTCCTGTGGGGGATCACAAATTGGATAATATATTGATTTCAAACCATGTCAGTGGGCTGCAGCATAAATTATTTTTGAAAGTGTAATGCATAAGAATCAGTTGATTGTTACTATTATTGATCTGGACATGCAGAAGAGGCTAAAATGATCCCAAAACATTGTCAACATTCATTTTCCATGTCTCTCTCCTTTCCATAACCTGCACCCTCTCTTCCATCTTCTTTAGTCTCTCTGTCTTCTTCCCGTTCATTAATCTCTGTCCTCTACTCTTTCTCGTTGTTCAATCTCTCCCTCGTTGTTCACTTTTTGCTCCTCCTCACTTGTCGCTCCTGCCAGTGAATTAAAAGCCATTCAGCAATTTAGTTCATTTCACTTGTTTGTTTGCATTATTTTTTTTATTTAAATCTGTTTTGTTTGATTCTCAAAAGAGAACAAAGATGTAAGCAAATTGTGTGGTTTCATACAATTGTATGTTATTATGACATCATAACTGCAATAGATATATGTTGTTTTAAAATGATGCCTATTGTCTATAGTGTAAATGAAGACTATTGTTATAGATAAATAGATAGATAGATAAATAGATAGATAGATGGATAGATAGATAAATAGATAGATAGATAAATAGATAGATAGATGGATAGATAGATAGATAGATAGATAGATAGATAGATAGATGGATAGATAGATAAATAGATAGATAGATGGATAGATAGATAAATAGATAGATAGATAAATAGATAGATAGATAGATAGATAGGGTTATTAAGCCTACATTCTTTTGTGTGACTGTACCTGCAGTTCCTCCCTGACTTCCATCACTTTCTCTCTCTCTCTCTTTCTCTCTGCCTGTCCTGTCTCTTCCTTACCAAAGCTGAGCTTCGACTGAAGTAGTCTTTTCATTATATCTGAGTCAGTGTAAAAAGAAAACAATACAATGTTATATCTTCAATGTTTTACTCAAATTTAAATGAAAGAAAAGCATTACAACGTTTGTTAAAAGGTAATCCTTCTGACATTGGATGAATGTAATTAACTTTAGCTCTAGCTAGTTTATTCACGCAATTTAAACCAAAGTATAGCCTATGGCTGCAATATAAGTTAGTGTGCATGTTGTCGGACGTCCACTGACTAACGTAGAGCGTTCACACAGGATCTGCTGGTCATATGATGTCCTGTGAGGAACAGAAACACAAGCAGCCCGCTGGACTCAGATCTCTAGATACCTGATCACTCCTCCGCTGCTCCGATACAAGTTCGGGCTGCGGTGGTTTGTTGATACATGTCGTCTTCTTCTGTTTGCTTTAATCGAGGCTACGTAGTTATGCAGCGCCCCCATCGGCAGTAAATGGAAGTACTACAAAGAACCCCGTTTAGTGCAGTTATTTCACACATTTTGTTATACACAGCTCGGAAATTATTACCGAGGTCCGGACCTCGGTGACCTCAATGGTGGATACGGCCCTGCACACACACACACACACACACACACACACCAGGGTTTCCGCTAGGATTTTTTCTCGCCGGTCAAATGTCCGGACAGAATTTATTTTACCGGACAAATTTTAAACTTACCGGTCATGTTTCAATAATAATAATAATACGAATTGTGTAGCAGAGTTTCCGTTAGCATGTAATTACCGGACTATGACCGTATGCTGATGTTTAAAACTCAGTTAATGGGAGTCATTTTTATATTGCTTCAGTTTATAATCGTAACAGATCGAAAAATTCAGATTCATTTTCAATAAATGATTCCACAAACAACAAACAACATCATTATTACATTCAAACAAACTACTTGCAGTAGATGAAGTACATTATTCAAAAGTTTACATTAGCTTTGAACATGGGCGTAGGAAGCATCCTGAATGTGGGGGGGACATTTTTAACGGGGGGTGAAAAAATATATAGATTTCCTGTATTCTGGTGCATTTTAACAGGTGGTTTGATACTTTTATGTGGCTATACTAGCATGAGGAAAATTATGGGTACATTTTGTAATTTCATCCAGTAGTAAAGAAAGGAAACATATTTGATTATTA